TTTGAAAACATTTGGGCTCTTTTTTGTGGGTATTTTTTAAGAAAAAATAGACTTGTCTTGCTAACTTCAACCCCCCAAAAGAACTACTAAAAAGGAATAAATAACCAAACCAAAACCCTTTTATTTACCCAGGCCTAATCATTCCATCGAGAAGAAAGCTAGATTGTATTTCCCCAAAGGAAAAAAAACTTGTACATTAAAAACCTGACGGGGATCCAAAACACAATTTTCTTTCAAGGGAATTTTGGAAAAAGTTTTTTCAAAAGCCCAAAAAATAGCAAAAAGGGTAGTGCCACAAATAGAAAATTTTTGAAAAATACAGCATGAATTTTGAAAAAAACATGGGGAAATTTTTTAATGAACCCCCGTGGGAAACTATGTCCCCCAAAGTAAGGAAAGATTTTGGGCCAAAAAAAGGCCAAGGGTTTCCTGCCAAAGAAAAATGCTAACAAATTTTGGAATTTTTACATCTCTTGCAAATTTAAACCAATAAAAAAAGTAACGACCAAAAGATTTTCCCCTGGAACCCCAAAAGAATCATTTGGGCCCCAGTTCATGTCCCAAACCCAGTATCTGCCCCCATTTAAACTGAAGAGACAAAAAAAAAACGAAAAATCGAGGTCATCAAAGAAATTTTCCCAAAAAGGGCAAAGGGGCGTGACAAAACCCAAAAATTTTTGTAAAAAATCATCAAAGCTCTTTTCTGGGACCTTGGGCCCGGCTTTACAACAAAGGAAAAAAAAGTGTACATTTTTCCCATTAAATTTTTTAAAAAAGGAAAAGGGTTTTTTCCTAAAATTTTCAAGAAAAAAACCCAAAAAAGGAGTATTGAAAACAACGGGCCCGTTTTCAAATTACCTTTTTGGAAAAATTTGCGAGAAGACATTTACCAAAAGGCTCATAATTTCTTTCCCAACTAAAAGGGTATTGGACCAAACCCCCGTTTTTTGGTTTAGAAAAGGGTCATTCCACCCTTTAGCCACACAAATCTATAGACCTTTTCCCTTTCAAAGACTCTACTGGCAATAAACATGGCTTTTTGGAAAATATCCAAATTTACTTTAAACAAAGCCTTCGGCCCCCCCTTTACCACAACATTCTTCTAACAAGTTAAACTCCTATGGTATTGGGGGGACGCACTTTCCCCCCAATTAAAAGCTTTTTACAAAAAGAAAGCATTTTGTTTATGATACCGTAACCATCCGAAACAATGGGTTGGGAAAATTGGGGGACCACCCGGGGGCAAATCCCCCCGGGGGATTTCTCTTTTTTACTGATAATTTTAACCCATATAGTGAACTTTTTTCCCCGAAAAAGGGGGAAATTTGTACCCCTTTATGCGGGGACACAATACTTTTAAAAGACCATCAGAAAGCAACCTACCCAAAAAAAAAAAAATTAGTTTTTTAAACCCTGGGCGAATTTTCATGAAAAGGGAATCACTCCAATCAATATGTCTAAATGGGGCTACACCATTTTAACCTGCCCCCTTTAAAGGGGAACCGTGCAAGGGCCCGACCATTTTTTTAAACCCGCTTAAAATGATCCAAGGGCAAATTCAAAGATGGGGAAGTTTTTACTTTAAAATCAAGGGTACCAAATTCCAAAGGGATTGTTTTTTAGATTAAGTTAAAAATGGGGGTCCCCCAAAGCACTACATTCGTAAAAAACTTCCGGGGCCAGACTGGGGCAAACTGGGAAAATCGACCTCGATCCCCGGTGAACTATAATTTAAAATATATGGCCCCTTTTGAAACACAAAAACAAATTTTGGGGATGTGTTTGGGGCGTTTTTTCCCCTTTAAAAAACGATCAATGACAGTAATTTTTTTCACAAAAGAAGCACGGGGTAAAGGGTTTTCCTTTTTTGGGGATCCGACTCAAAATTTGATTAAACAAAACAACCAATTTTCACGTACTAGACCGTTGGGAATTAAAAAAAAACCTAAAAACTTTGGGAAAAAGGGGCATACAAAACCCCCTTTTTTAAAACCCAAAAATTTCTAACGGGTCAAAACTTGACAAATATCACGGGAAATTTTAAAATTCTTTTAAGATTTTCCCGTCCACTGCCCCTACGCCCCCTTTTTAAAAGGCCCCTCAACATTTCAAACCGGGCCAAAAATTTTAATTTTTTTCCTTTTAAATAAACAAAAACCTTTTTTTTTAATGCAAGGCAAGCTTTGAACACAGTTCCCAAAAAAAAAAATTTTAAATTTTAAGCCCTTTTCCTAGAAACTTCCATTAACTTGATAAAATTTAGAACCAAAGCCTATTAGTACAAAACAAAGGCAGCCGACTTTTAAAAAAAACCTGGACTCCAACCAATTTTTTAAAATTTGGCCCCAAATTTTTTAAATTGCAAAATGGGGGAGCGGCACACACCTAATATTTCTATCATGATTTAACAAAAAGCGTTAAGCTTTCGATCCATTTTTAAACCACTTGTGTTGGGGGGGGGGGGGGGGGGGGGGGGGTTTTTTAAATAAAAAGTTTTAATTTTTCAAATTTATATCAATCGAACCCCAAAATTTTATAATCGAACCTATATTCGATTGTTAAATTTTGGCGGTAAATTGGGTAATTTATAAAAATTTTTGGGGTTTAGTGAAGTTAACTCCTGAAAATAAAATTTTTTTAAATTTTTTTAAACCCCAAAAGGGGCTTGGAGTTAAAAAGACCAAGGCGCCTAAAAGCCCCACCCCAAACCCAAAATTTTGGAGGCAAGGGGGGTGCTAAACTTTAAAGGTCGGCACCTCCGAAACCCGTTTTCACCCCCGGATTCTTTTACGATTTTGAAAAGGTTAAACCTTTTCCCTTTTCTTTTCTACTCCAATCCCCTAAAAAACGGTTTAAAAGGTTTTTGGGTATTTTATAAAAAAATATATTTTTGTTTTTTCTTTTAAATTTATACTAAAAAAAAAATTTTTGTTTTTTTTGAAAATTTTTGGTTTTTTTTGCCGAATTTAAACCAAAAATTTTTTTGAAATTTGGGTATAAGAAAAGTTTTCCTTTCCAAATTTTTAAACAACAAATAAGATAAGGACAACCCTCAGGGAAGTATTGGGAAAACAAAATAGACAACTGGCAAATAAAATTTAAAAAAAATTTTGAAAGGATGGGAGATTTTTCTATTGGGGCCGATTTTAAAAAAAAAAAAAAATCGGCCCAAAAATGCGCGGCGGGCCCCTTAAATTTTAAAACCCTCAAAAATTTTCTAGTGATAGTTTTACAAATGATACTTGTAAATATTTTAAAACATATTATACCAGCAATACTACTGTGAGCGCGCCCAGTTCTTTAATTATATTGACGGATGACATTTTGACGGATGTTACTCGTCTAAATTTCTTCGAAGTAGCGCGCGCCGCTTTCTTCTCGATGGCAAGTGCTACGAAGTAGCGCGCGCCGGGCCAGATCATTAACAATGGTCAAATGACATTTATAATTTCGAAGTTTAGTTTAGTATTATTTTATATCACGTGGTGACCCCCACTGTCGCTTCACTATAGTATCGTCTTCGACGATACAGGGGGAGCCGCGCACTTCGTGCGCGGTGGGTCATACAACGTATGACAAGGATAGCTCGATCTTCAAGATATCGTTCTGGAGATATGAAAACACTTTTATGATCTTCACACAGTCCCAGTTTTATGGCATTTACTAGTATTTGATGAACGGTACTAGAATTACCTAGTACTATAGCACAACTTTGACTCATGTCGTTTTGTTGGCTGATTTCTTCCTTGCTCTAACCAGAGCCCTTTCGCTTGCAGTAGCGCGCGACCGCCGTATCTACTTGTGAAACAAGCGCGTCACGCAGTACGCGTAGACACATGGCTATGTGAAATTTCTTCCCAACCCGGATAGCTTCAAAACGTGTTTTTTTTCAATCTGCTGAAAAATAACGTCAATTTTATTGCACAGTTTCTCTTTAAAGAATAAATAATTTCTGTCCCTAAAAATGAACCCCCAAGTGGTGTCAAGATCACAAATTAAATAAACTAGCAGGAACCCGTTTAACCCTAAAGTGGTGTCAAACCTCAAAAGACTAAAATAATTATTACCTATTTAATTCGCGTTTTTGTCATCACTTTGGGGTCCAAATTTTGGGCACTAAAATTCTTATTCCTTGGCCAATTTTTTATTTTTTCGTGCTGATTTGAAGGCCATTAAAGCATTTAAACCAGTCAAAAACGTTTAAGTTGTATATCTTTTACAGTTTTTGAGGAAATTCGTGTTAAAGTTGATGCCGTGGTGTCAGTAAAATGGTAGGAATATATATTTATATATTTATACTTTCAACACTACTATATAACAAATTGTATCACGTGGTGACCCCCACGGTCGCTTCACTATAGTGGTAGAGTTTCGACGATACAGGGGGAGCCGCGCACTCGTGCGCGGCGGGTCATACAACGTATGACAAATAACAAATAATTTGAGGATGACTGTAAAGGTATATTTTACCGACATTTGAAGTCAACTCGTTGTTTTACTGACAGTTGTGGCTGACTAACATTATATATATATATACATATACAAAATGAAACGACCGGTTGAGTCAGACAAATGTTTCAATCATGATACAAAACCATGATATCATCAGTGACAACTGAGGTATAGGAGCTAAAATTAAAATTACAAAGCTAAAAATTAACATAAACATTCACTCGTGAAACAATACTAGGGGTTAGATATATGAGTCATTAGATTATAAAAGGAATTTCCGTTTATTGTTTCACGAGTGAATGTTTATGTTAGGTCACTCTCAAATCCTAAAGATAAGCAGTGGCCTTCGGCACTTGAAACCTCTTCAAACCTCCCCTGATTTATTTATTATTGATATTGTTTGATTGTGCCGTAAAAATAAATATTTGTTTTATTATATATATCGTCTCGCTTTATATAGAGTAAGATAAGATTGTCTAATTTTAACGTCTCTTGACTTCTGGACACCACTTTAAACTTTTAGAGAATCACAAGTTCTTGCTAGTATTGTTTTGGTGTTTAAAACATTTCTTATCATGTAGTTTTGTGAAGTGTAACATTTAGATTGATTTTCAGGAATCATGGTGAGCTTAAAGAAAGAAAAGCAAGACGATGTTGATCAGGTCGATCACAATTCTGGAGTTGACTTCACTGCTAATAGTGATGTACTTGAACATTCAATACATTATGCAGTGGATCTTTATCTAGTCAGTGTTTCGGCTTCTTCTGTATTATTCTATTGCTTACTGTTAAGTAAACCAGGCTATTTTGTTCTCAATGAGGAACATTACTCTGATGTACTGAAAAACTACCTGTCATCAAACTTTTTGCTTGATGATAATCCTCCTGGACTTCCTTTAGTGCTGTCTCTTATAACTGTTCTTTTAGGTTTTGACATCAACAACTCACCGAAAAGTGATACTCTCAAACTTTTCTATTGCCGACTTATTTCAGCACTTGCAGGAAGTGCTGTACCACCCTTAGTTTACTTGATATTAAGAACAATGAAGGTTTCTACTCTGATCAGTACCTGTGGGGCTGTTTTAGTGCTATCAAACTCAGTGTTGCTCACTGACTCAAGGTTCATCTCTGCCAACCCCATCATGGCTTTGACTTCATTGCTGGCTCTACATTTCCTTTGTAAAACTAGATCAGAAAATTATCCATGTGTCAAGAATTATGTGGCAATGTCAGTTTGTCTGGGTATCTCGATGACTATGCTTCATCTTGGATTCAATTCGTATCTTTTCATCGCTGGCTTTGTAGTATACCAGGAATTTCAAAGGTTTGGAGACCTCAGTAAGCCTGAAAAGGAGTTATGGATGAGATATCTGTGTGTTGCTGGAACAGTTGTATTTTTACCCCCACTGCTCTATTACATGACATATTGGCACTTGGTCAGAAGCTGCCATAAATCAGGAGTAACAGATCCGTACCTGTCAACTTCATTTCAGGTTAATGAATTTATTTGATGAGTGAGTCGAATAAAATAAAGTTTACGCAAAACTTTGATTTAAAACCATTAATCTAAAATAATAAATTATCATTAATATCATCAAATATTTCAGGCCGAACTTGAAGGGAACGTGTATCACAGTATCAAGAACACAGACAAGACATGGATAGTGAACAATAGCAACATAATGCTACACACTGAGGACCCATATCCATGCTACCTTCACTCTCACCCATTTGACTATCCTTTAACAGATGTTGAGCAATCTTTTCAGCAGGTCAGTTGCTTTGGTTATTCCTGAAGTGATACAAACCTTAAGAGAAACCTTAACGAATAGTATTATCACCATTTCACTGCTAACATATGATTGGAATTATACCTAAGCACAGTCGTGATATCTTCAGATAATTAGTTGACAATTAGATCAACTACTTTCTTAATGTTGTAATTCTTCTTGTAGGTAACCTGTTACAGTGCAGTTGACGGAAATAACTGGTTTAAACTTGAGGCTCCACCCTCAATAAATAAAGACGCTGCCCATGTCATTCAGCATGATGATGTAGTGAGAATGAAACATTTGCTGACTGGAAAATATCTGACAGTGTTTGATGGTGTCGAAGCAGTTTCCAACGAACTTGCAAACTTGGTAAGTCACTGGTAATGATGCGTATAGAACAAGCGAATTTCCACAGTATATTTCCACAGTATAGTCGCTTGCGCGGCTCACCTATCCAACACTCATGTTTACATCGTATCAGGCAATGGTTCAGTTTAATTATGGTAAGGGCACAGCATGTCAAAAACCCTTTTCGCATGATCCGTCGACACCGCCTGAAGGTGAATGCATAATAACGGATCAGCGTGAAATCAAACGTTAATAAGCTTGCAGCTTCCGATGACAGTGTATTCAACCTGGTATCATGCTTGAATTGGTTTTGGACCTCTTCAATGCTTTTAATTTATTTATTTATATTGTTATTTGATACTATGAGCTGATATGTATATATACATACGGTATCTAAAATTAAGCGTATAGCGAGCATATTTAACAATTTTTAAAACAATAATGTATTGCCATGCGAGCAGCTGTAACTAATTAATAAATATCGCATAAAAATCATATAATTATAATATAACTCAAAACTAAAATTTTATTGGAATATAGGTTAAACTAAGATAAAATTAATGTCAGACCCGTCGCCACTCCCAGCAGTCAACCAGGGCTCATAAAAGCTTAACAGCGCCTGGGTCCGTTCACCAACTGTGCTAATGTGAGTGGCGGTGTGGTAAAACCCATTTCAACAGCGTGAATATTTATTAAATACAAGCGCGCTAGCTGCTAGCATACTTGTATCATTTAATTCTAAATCAAATTTATTCGGATATATATTTATTGATTATGTATTGAATTGGTGATAAATAATAAAATTGTCTTTTCTCAAAAAAAAAATTGTCTTTTCTCTTTATAGGGTATTTGGGGGCTCATTGTGTAAACAGGCATCTTAATTTGATTATTTTGTTAGTAGCTCATCTCAGGGGTTATGTAAGCTAGACTTTGCCCATTTTTGACACTCTGGTAAGCCACTCACAGCTATTGAAAATTAAAGCTTTTCAAACCCCCTTCCCAGCACACGATGTGAATAGGAAGGGATTCAGACTGTTTATTACATCCAATACTAAAAGCACAATTCCCTATCAGCGCTGGAATCTCAATGTTATGTGGAGTGCTTTTGGATATAATTGTTGAAGAATTGTCTGAATTTTACCTTATCTTTATTTTATCAACTGTAGTTTTCAGATTGGTGAGTCATTGTTCGTGAAGTAATTACTCCACTTGCGAATGTCCGGATAATTTTCATTTTACTGTTCAATAAACAGCAAATAAGCTTTAAGGGAACATTGCAAAATACAGGCACTTCAAGTATATTGTTAAAAGTTCGTCATCACCAGTTGAAGTATGTTCTAGAAAATATGGGTCACAAAAACAAAGAGCTATAACTTGCTAAATGTAACACCAAAATCCGGTGATGCTCCCTATCGTAACTAACAATAGGTTTAACGCTAAGATTGCCGAGTTGCGACTCTACCATTATCTGTTGGCAACCCAATAAGTCTAATGTCGTTAATATTTCACGACTGAGTGATCGCACAAAAAACAGGTGAGCTAGGAATCCGTGTCTGTTCACTCTTCCCATTTCTTAACGATAGAGTTGAAGACGTGACTTGCAGCTTACGCAATACTTAGTTCCTCGATTAAACATCTGGTCTAATGTCTCGCGAACATCTCCATATTTAAGTGCGAAATATCTGCACAAATCTTATTTCTGTTCTTATTTTATTATTGTCCGTCCCAACTCCCAACCATGAAGATTCTGTGGACTCTCATCTTTTTACTTCAACTTATAAACCTAACCTTCGGAAACACTTTGAAGATAATCAAGACAAGATCAGGGTCTCTCAGACCAGAACCTTGTTCTATGATATGTGCTGGAGAAACAGGACCGAACCCTTCATACACAAAGTACAGCGACGGTCAAGTTCAGTTCATTGTTCTGGATAACATTGACATGAAGAAGTGTGGATTTGTTGAACCACCTATTGTATCAGTTAGCTTAGAGGGTGGTGTAACAAGGATAGCCCAGTGGACGCATGCAGTAAACGATGTGAACAAGAACGGGTTCAGACTGTATATTACGTCCAATACTTCCCAAACAACTACTGGTCGGAGCTGGAACTTTAATGTCATGTGGAGTGCTTTTGGGTATAATTGTTAAATAATTTGTTTTAAATAATTTTAATAAATGTAGTTTTCTTTGTTTGTGGAGTAATTGGTTATGTGAAGTGTGGTTGGAACCGAAAATGAGGTATATGAAAACCATTGCAAAATAATAATATCCAAGAGAGTCCCAAAGTTGTAGTTTCAATGATCTGATTTGTAAAATCTTACCTTAGCTACCAAGTAAATACCGTACGTTCCAAGATTAAATTTTGAGCATAAATGTGAGCCAATTAAAAAAATATCGATTCAAAAAATAAACACATTACTACTGACTTCACCTTTATCACGTGACAAGTAGACTCTGTTAAAGTTTTAACACTTTATCTAATGCAGGTGGTAACAAAAGCGATAAAATTACTAAAATTATGTAATTATGACGTCATTTGTCGGCTGAGGTGATTGACTGGCAGTCTCTGTACCACTGTACCTCTGTACCACTGCCTCCCCCAGGTAGCAGGTACGAGTGACGGGGAGGGTGAGAGCTGGTGGATTGTAGAGATAGTAGACGAGAAACAGTTTAGCGGGGGCTTGTGGGCTGCTAACTACACTCATGTTAGATTCAGGAGCAATGTTACCGGCCACTATCTCGTACAGACAGGTATGTCATGTGACAAAACAACACAAGTCAATATTTCTGTTCTAGGACGGAGGTTGCAACGTTAGGTTGGTCTGCAGATAATTCTTTGTATCACAGATTTATTGTAAATGAAAAAAAAGCTTTTGTACATTTATATAATTGTGCAGGTATGCGACTACCTGAGTGGGGGTTTGAGCAGATGGATATCGGAGGAGCAAGTAATGCAGCTGCAGTGTGGACTGCTACTCACGCTCAACTTTCTAACTCACTTCAGGTATTGACTATTACTTGCGCTCAACTTTATAAATCATTTTAGGGTTAAATATCAACTTTTTGAACCTTTTTTATCATACCGTAGTACTGATTATGCCAAGGCTTGGTGAACTTGCTTACATGATGTGTTCAGGTTGAAGAGTTGAGATCAACAGAGTACAGTTCGTTTAGTAAGGTATTGGAGATACACAAGATATTGTTTGTAACTGGGAGATATGATCGTGTGAAGGAGCATGCTTACAATACCTCACCTTACACGTGGCTAATACCAGGTGACTAGCAGTGTAACTATGGTAACTAGTAGTGTAACTATGGTAACTAGTAGTGTAACTATGGTAAGTAGTAGTGTAACTATATGGTAACTAGTTGTGTAACTATGGTAACTAGTTGTGTTACTATGGGAACTAGTAGTGTAACCAGGTGAGTTAATCCTCTAAATCCTGACATTGTTCCTTGATATCGTGTTTAATCTATGTGCGTTATACTGTTCAATATAGGTTATAAACCTTGTGGAATGTAGATCTTAGAAATTTCACCGCTCTTTAAAGTTGAGATGTGTAGATTGCAGTAATACTACGCTAACTGTACAATACTACCAACTGAAACTATACATTTGTTATAAGTTGTAACACCACAGGTCTGTCAATGCTGTATTCGTACACAAACAAGGAGATTATACAAGCTAGAAGCAACACCCTGTTAGAACAAGGCATGCTTCTTTGTTTATTTAGTCACATCGCTGTGTTTACATTGCTTCTTATACGACGAGCTAGAGGCTTTGTTGATGTAACTGAGGTGAGATTATTTGAGAAATAAAGTATATGCTTTTAATATGTTAATTTATTTTGAAATGAAATATGGACGATCGTAATTGTATTCAAAATGAATTTGATCATGATTTTACCCCAAAATTAGATGTAAATTGTCAAATTAGTTTAAGCAAAAGTAATAATTATTATAAATTAAATGTTTTCAGGAAATTTGGACGAATCTCTGTGAAAGGAATGTGGTTCTGTTGCTAGGATTTCTGTTTCACTACTCAGCGTTCTTCTTCATGCAACGACCTCTTTTCATCTTCCAGTTCCAGGTTTAGAGTCAAACAATTACTAACTTCACATCAATTGAGAATGTTTTTATTTTAAGCGCAAACAATTCCTTTACCTTACTACTTTTAAATAACCTGCTGATTCGTTTTACAATTTCAGTTAACCCATATCTATCTGGTGATGTCATGTGTAAGTTTTGTAGATCTACTTCTACGCCATTTCGCACACCACCTGCTCTACACACTCCCTGTTTTCACTGCCTACACTGCTATGGTGTTCGTTAGGTTTCTCTTTCACTTTCACTTCTCTGTTGGTTATCCTGCTGATGAGAACGAGTTCTTCCTATTGGTGGATTGAACATTATATTTAGAGAACTGAACTGTGAAAACTATTGTGGTGCTTGCAGGTACAGTAGAATAAGGTGGAATAAAAACAATTTCTTTACAGCTGAAGAGAAATTGTGCTTAACAAATGTATTAACACTTAACAGTTTATTTGGATATTCGCACTTAAGAAGTTAGTTTACAGATTGAATAATTTATCTTTAATATTAAAATAATTGCCGTGCATATTTGTTTGATAATTTTGTTTATGAATTTAGACTTTTCTGTATTAACATAACGGAATTTGTTGTTAGCTTAGTAGTTCAAATGTGTAAACAGTAATTTGTATAGAATTATTTACTTGTAAGTGTAATATTGTCACTGATATTGAAGTTTTATAAACACTATTTAACAATTTATACTTCTCATTTAGAAAATGTATAAGATCTCTACTAAACATAGGCAGTTAAGAGCAGGAAACGTCGAGGATAAGATAATTTTAGCAATCAATTAGGCTGTTTCCGGAGCTTTGGATACTCCTAGTTTAATAACCTCATAGGCGTATCATTATCAACTTTCACTATGCTTACATTTGTCTGTTTATGATGTATTTGCAGTGGATGCCGTGATCGATACAAAGACAGATGATACCCTGAAGCATAATGATCGATTTGACTGGCACAGATACGTGCTACTTGTTTTATGGAAAACGCGATATAAACTTGTTTGCATTTCAGCATAGCACGCACGCGCGTTTATAATATAATAAATATTATATATACGATTCCTGCGGATTTGTTTTCGAGCGGTTGAATTGAAGGGAGTTTCTTAGAATTAAATAAAAGTCCTTCACTAAAAATGTTAAGTCGATACTTGGTCTTCTCTGGGGAATTTTAATTTTTGAACAGCCTGGTTAACTTACAAATTATTCGTTATAAAACTTAAGAATACCATTTTACTGATCGATGGCGATGCTCTACACAGACCACAGCTAGTAGTGCGCAGACTGTTTGTTCATTGTTGCATGATAATATGCTATGCTCCGTATTTACTATCAGTATTAACGAGTAGTGGCGTATGCTTCATGAATAAAGTTAACGAGTTCTTCGATCCGACGTACACACGAGATTATGCCTAAAAATAACTCTAAGTTTTGGAGTACACTTGCCACTTGGCCACGTTGACTATTATACGGCTGACGGCCTGACGCATGACGGCATATGTAATAAGCATTTGCCATTTATCTTTAGCTAATTGTTAAATTCGGCTAGGTAATTGTATTGAATAAGCAGAAAAACACAAAACTTAGAATCTGCCAAACCTAGACTTATAGATGAGTTCTAGAGTTCGGCTTTATTTCAATAAAATACTAAATTTCAATACTAGAAGTAGATCAACTCAAAAATTGCACTTTTAAATCTCATTGTTTACACAGATCTCTTTACTTATTCTTAATCTTCCAGTTAAATGTGGGGGGCAGGTTGGAATGACACTGTTACTTATCTGACATTGGACATTGGACATGCACAATTATAAAGTAATTCACGTGTGTAAACTGTAAAATGTAAATCCCCATATTCGGTTGTGAATGCAACAGCGGACACCTTGCTGCATCACAACTTGCATGGTAAGAACGTTTTATAAGTTCTGAACTAGACTAACGTGAACCAAGTAGACCACAGCGTTTTTAGTTTTATATTTTAAACTACAAGAGCTATACAGAACAGTTACATAATCTTATTAGTTATTAGAACATGAATTTTAACTGTATTTTGTATTTCGCTCTTAATTGTGCGCGGAGTTAGTAGTATCTTGTGACGTATCTGCCAGTTACGGCCGTGAGCTGCTTAATAGCTAACTTAAAACTAGTTCTAAAGTATAATAAAGATAACTTATATCATGGGTAGTTATTAGTATAGTTAGTAAATGGTATTTCCGATCATGATCAGGATTCAGGATAGTTAAAAAGCTGATTATGAGCTCACGGTCACATACGTTGAAGAACCTCCCTGGTTCTTTATCACAAAATGGTCGTGGAATGTCACAGTGCAGTGACCTAAAGTGTTATCTCATGGACTGCGGACATTGTCACGGGCATTTGTCAGGCTTTCACGAATGGCTGGAATTTTGACAACAAGATAATTTCCAAGCTCAAAACTTTCCTATATTTGGTAGTAAAACGGGGAGGTTTTTGAGGGAGAGACTTGTTGCCATGCTGCCATGTTCCAGTCCTAACTGTAAAGACATTTTTGTCGGTGTTAAATACCAATTGCTACACGACTCATCAACTTGAACAGTACGTGGTTTGGTCGGGTCCTGATTTTTAAAGAGCTGTAAATAAACAGTGAACTGTGGTCGTGGATTATCCCTTAAACTGGTACTGAATTTTAAAGGTATTATCGAAATTAAAGATCGAAGACTTTGTCATATTACGTAATCTCTACATCAAGTAAAGTGAACTAAACACAGTTAAACCTCAGTTTTCTCTCAAACACACCTATAAACCCAGTATTCTTCAGAACCTGACACCTGTAGATCTAGACAAGTGCCAGTTAGCACTCGAGATGCTAGAACCCAGACAAACAGTAGCCATACTCCGAGCTTGTTGACATTCGAGAACTACGGTCCGCTAACTTGCTGACAATCACCCTGGCCGTCCTGTTGAGTTTAATGACTTCGGGTTCAGTTCCACACTGGATGTAAGCTCTAGTCGGGTCAGGTGTGTTGCCATGCAGCAGTTTGGGTACATTTGGGGAGTTGTAACAGGTTAATAATATAGCACTGCGCTGCTCTATCACTGCTCTAATGTTCTGTATAAGTAAAGTAATTTCCTCCGACAACTTTAACTGCAGCTCAAACTCCTGACATCTGTACCGCAGACAGGCTAACTTTGATCGTGCCAGGGCTGCAGAGACAGCATATTAATATTCGTGGAGTAGCCCTATAAAACACCCTGATCCGACCTATCAGGGCTATCACACACTTCAACATACACCCTGGGTACTGGGTAGTTGGGTTGGTATTGACCCTACCGGGAGCGGGGGATATCAGAGCAGGCCGACTGTCAGGCTGCAACACCGTCAGTGACATAAAACATCTGGTCACTTAGTCACCCGCTCACTTACTGGGCAGCGCTCAGCCTGTCATTCCGCCGAATCTCTATTCTATGTTTATGAACATTATAGCCTGGGGCCCCCAGGTAACCGCTCAATTACTAGCTACAGAGCACCGGATTATACGATATTATAATTTAATTTGGACTGCCAGTACTATACTGGGATTTTCATAATTTCATATGTCAGAGCCGTGGAAGTTAATTATAGGCATGTCTACTGTCTACTTGACAGTGTTGTTCAACTCACGTTCCTATTTCCCAGATGCCAAAACGAAAAGGACTATTGTCAGCTAGTCTTGTTGATTTGATTATAATTGATTCCTTTGTTGTCTAATTAGTCATTCATTAGTCACAGTGTGTTCAATATCAATGTGGATGTTTTACAATTTGTGTGTCATTATCGGACAAGGTAGAGAAATAAAACTCGTTTATAAGTTGCGTAGAAATAGAATAAAACCTGTCTTGAAATATCACAATGGTACATATCAGAAATAACCGGTGTCAATAGATGTCTCGTTGCTAAGCAACCAGATTCAGAACGTATATTTCCCAGATAGATAGAGCAAGATTTTGAAATCACTATTGTTATATTATTACGGCTCCAAAAGGTTGACAGACCCTCAAAACTCCCCTAACTCGGAGATCAGCGTACAAATAGACAAATCAGAGATTTGAGACAAGTCGAGATGTATGGGAAGCTTTGAGGGTCGATTCGACGCAAGGTTATTCTACCATCACATCGACAATTTAGCATATAAATATAATCAATAAATTTGAAATTATTTCTATCAGACAAGATAGCCCATGACAGATTTGATGAAAGAAAACGATCACTGGTCTCGAGAATTCAAGAACGAATTGAAAAGTGTTCTATCATGGACAAATCGTGCGGTATAAAATTAATAAATAATAATAACAAATCAACTATGTACATGCTGGCTTCCTGACCCGAACCGCTGCACCCATCAACCACTCGGTCACCATGGCAACGCTACTTGTTTCCATAACAACTCCACTTGTTACCATGGTAACGGATCATGAAGCGGTTAAAGGCCTGCAGCCTGGTAAGTTCGGCTTGAAAACCACTGAATTAAGCACACACACACACGACACAGACACTTTGATCATGTCAATAAGTATAAAAACACAAATAAAAATTAAATTACTAAGTTACAAAATAGAGACTGAAATTTGCTAACTCTTATACGTTGGGCTGCTTCGTGATTATATCCGTGTTACTCCATCAGTGTCACACGACTGTTACACGACTTACTTCGCCCTTGCTTGAAATTAAATAACTCCGCCCCAGTTTCTCTACAACACAAAATAATAACTGACACACACACAACATTTTCTGGAATATTATTATTACTATTGATTTAAAGTTAAAACTAAACGCAGCAATAAAAGTATAAGGGGTTACATAATCTAGTGTAATGGAACTCAGATTATAATTATTATTACGCAACTTTGATTAATAAGAAATTACTTGACTGTATGAGAAGTCACCACAGTAACTAATCACTATAGTAACGGTAAAAGTCAATAAGTTAATTATGTATAATACACGAACACAATATTATTTTATTATACGTAAATCAAATACTCGAACACTGCCAGACAATGTCTCGTTGCTAAGCAACAAGATTCAGTTGCCAAGGCCGCAACAACAAATTTATAACTGTCCGTTTTGTCAAAAGTGCAGGAAATTACCACAGTATAAAATTCAATTTTAGCAAAATATTAATTCTGAAATGTCCTGCTACCTTTTTACAATAATAATTTAACCTAATTGAAATTGCATATATCATATTGAGTGGAAACATATATTGCGAAATCACAATAACAATATATAATAAAACTTTGGGAACGAATATAACAAGCCTCTTGATTAAAATATGTGAGAAAATATGTTCAAATTCAAATAAAAATTCTTAATAAGATGAAAACAAACGTGCGATTTTCATACCATATTAATCTAAGTACAAACGAACACGTGACACAGTTAGCCTGTGTATATTGTAATATTCGAATTATGCTTAAGTATCGTACGTTAATGCCAAATAATATCAGATCACTGAGTATAAAATGCCGTATAAATGAGATGAGATGGATTATGTATTTTTACTCTTACTTATAATAAATGTGCAAGATATCCCTTGGAAAGTGAAATCATCTCCATTGGAAAGTGAAATCATCTCCCTCGGAAAGTGAAATCAGATCCCCGGAAAGTGAAATCAGAGTCAGTGTTTCTACCTGCTGTAGTTTTGGAGGAAGTCGTCAATGCTGGCCTTGCCGAACAGTTGGGACAAGTTGTCCACATCTGCAGGAGCAGGAGTGTTGGAAGCAGAGAAGGGGGTGGAGGGGGCGGGAGTGTAAGTGTCAGAGTGCTGGGGGGTGTTGTACATCTCACTGTAGGAGGTGTTGTAGTTGGGGGTGTAGCTAGCATTGTTGTAGCTGTTGGTGTTGTTGTAGGTTGGAGAAGGGTTGTTATTGTAGGTAGGGGAGGCGTCATTGTATCCGCTGTTGTAGCTGGATTGAGTGCTGTAACTCTGGGAGTTGTAGTTCTTGTTCTCTCCAGTGTACTGCTGTTGTTGCTGCTGCTGCTGGACCCACTCTGCGAAGGGGTTGCTAGGTTGTTGCTGCTGTTGGTCAGATGGGTTCTGTCCCATCTGTTGTTGGTAGAGCATGGCAGCCATGTTGAAGTTGAGCTGAGCCAGGCTAGGGTGGAGGTTTCCTCCGTTCATCTGAGCCATCTGTAGCATTGCCTGCATGAGGTTAGAGTTGAACTGAGCGCTCTGAGTGTTGGATGGGTTGTTGCTGGAGGGGTTGTTGGAACTGCTGCTGTTGTTGTTGTTTGTGTTGCTGTTGTTGTTGTTGTTGTTCCGTATCCCATGTTAGATCTTCCCGAGTAGCCCTGTCCTCCAGAGTTGTTGTAGCCGTTCTGTCCTCCGTTGTTCTGTGCTGGCATGTGTCCCTGTCCGTTAGGGTTCCTGGGACAGTACTTGAGAGTGTGAGCGTTCTCTCCGGTGGATCTGCAGATTGGGCACTCGTAAGCGAACAGGATGGGGCATGTTACTTTGCCATCGGGCGCCTTGAGGGCGTGGGTCGAGTAGACGGACTCATCTTCTCCGTTATTCCGGCAGAATACGCACACCTGCAATGAAGTGGTGTTAGTCGAGCATGTATCGTATGTAGCATAACATGCTGCCAGCATGTGATTATTTCTCATGTTTATTCGGAGTAAAAATTTAAATTTACGAAAGAGACATTTTTGTGTTTGACCGCCTTTCTTTGATAAGCTACGTTTTTATGCTTGATTGAAGAGCACGGTTTGCCAAGATGCATGACTAGTTTAGGACAGGTGGCAACAACAATTTCAAACTTGATGGGGCGTGCCTGCATGATCAACTGAACTCCCTTTTTAAAATGTAAAATTCTTTAATGTGCATTACATGCAAAGCTAGGCGCCAGGGAGGTTGTTAATTGTCGGGCCCATTAGAAAGGATAGATTTAGCCTGGTACTGGACCTAACTCTGAACAATCCAGACAGCCTCTACAAAACGCCTAATTACGGAGGATAAAGAGTTGCAGTTTGTGCCCTGTGTTTTACTTGGGACGTCTAGAAAGTTCCCCCGGTAGCAAATAGAAGGCCCACTGAAACCTACAATAAACAATATTAACTAAAGTTTAAAAAAGGGAAGCCATTTCTGTCACGTACCTGAACTTTATTCCTCTTGCCGTTGTTCTTCTTGACAGTGGGCACCATAGGAGGAGTAGCAGCAGTAGAGGGAGGGCTGGTAGCGGGGGTGTACATCTGATTCTCCTCCACACTCTCTCCTCCTTCTGACACGGCACTATCTTTAGCTGGGGACTCCACTGCTTTCCATCCACCCTGGTCCTTCCACGTTCCAGCGGGAGGACTCTCAAAAGCGGGGGTCTGGTTTCCTTGGTTGCCAAGGACTAGAGAGTCAGGGTATCGTAGGGGCAGGGGTTTTACCAGCTCGTTAAATCCAAAGTAGTCGTTGAAACAGTTGTAGTTTGAGTTACTGTTAGGTTGTTGCTGAAATAAGAGATGGTTAGATAAATCATAGAAATTATATAAAACATAATTATGTATGGAGCAGATATTAAAAACAACCTTAACTTCCCTTTTCATGAAGTAAACATAAAGAACAGAAATGTTTCCTAATTTTTTCTTACCTGTATCTGTTGTTCAGGGATTCGGGTGAGCTTGTTCTGCTGGGGTGAGACATTTCCCTCCTCGTTAACCTTCTCAGAACTGTTACTAGAACACTCACTATCACTATAATATCCAGGATCTACACCGATCTGAGCCAGAGTAGAGGCTACAGAGTGAGGGGATAGTTGCTGGTATATCTGCTGCTGTCCGGGATTACCACCTTGCATGTGTTGCTGCTGTTGTTGTTGTTGAGACATCATTGCTCGAAACATACTGTTTGTTTTCACTAAAGTGGGCGGAACGGTTAGAGGTTGAAGTTACGAAAAATTTATAAAAGGAGCAAATACCGTGGTAAAAGGTAACAAATTCATGATGTTAATTTGTATCATTTTAACCTTGTAAGTGAATTATGGATGATTTAATGTATACAGCAATCGAATTATTAAAAGCCAGCCACCAATAGAAATAGAGTTCACGAGATATGACAGGGCGGATAATGCATGATGATTTTAGGATCACCAAACAAGAGCGGATATAATATCCACTTGAAGAGACTATCACCTAGCTACGCGGAGTAATAAAGTGAGACAACTCTAAAATATCGAAATAGAACTTCAACTTCTGTCCAACCCAGAGCATGTGACTGATGTGGGGACCAGGAAGGAGGAGCTAGTGAAAGTAAGGTGCACCTAAATAAAATGGTGTACACGACCCGGTGAAAAATGGCAAAGTTGGGGGAGATAAAAGGTTAAGTTAATTAAGAAGGGTACCATCTGGTGAGGCGAGATAAGGGACATGCTCGGTGCAGAACTCAGCATCCTGCAACTTCACCCAGTGTATCAGATATCAAACCAACTTCGCCGAGTAATAATACGCTACAAGATAGAACACACGTTTATTTACAGCACTATACTATAACTAACTACGCGACAGCTACACCTGAACCAGCTACACCAGCTTCACACTCATTACCCCCCAGCTTGCGTGCCGTGGGCTGGTCTGGTGACTACTACAGAGTGGGTTACCTCCTCTAGTGGTACTAATACAATTTGCAGGAAGAGATAAGAGTCAGGGTGAACACACACGAGCAAGGTCTCGTGGTTACCGGGCCACGGAAGGAGATAAACTCAACCTCGGAGAAGACTTTCAAAAATGTAATTATATATCTCTTATAGCACACATCAGAAACCTAGTTAAAGGAAACCTGCTGGCTCGGTTCCAGGCTCGCCTGACAGGTCACTAATGGCTCAGAAGTTAAAACTACAAAACACAAAACTAAAATACACAACATCTCAGGTTTTTAGGTAAACCCCTCCCAAAACCAAGCTTGAGACAGGATAATGTGTTCGGGGGAGATGTGAGCGAAACAAACCAGATGGAGTTCACTTTAAAAGGAAATATAAAGGAGTACAAGGAAGCTCTGCAGAGGGGAAGGTTGTCACTAACCCACAACTTGATAAAATTGAGAATCGCCATTCGCCAGGGTTGTCAACACTCTCCGGCTACACCTATCAAAATATGTAGGACTATTCTCTTTACAATATACGTGTAATATGTGGTCTAAATTCCCTGAATATGCTATCCTTCTGAATAACTTAAGTTATCGACAGTGGCGCTGATTGCACGTTCAGGAGGCCACAAAGAGAGAGGGGGGGAGAGAGTGAGGTACTAGCTATTTGCACACGTTGTTGAGCCGGAAACTTGGCGCTCTCAACAGAATGACGACAGTACGAACGGAGAGGAGGGTCCGACGACAAGTAGGGTCCGTCAAGATAAGGGAGAGAGGTGGTGAAAGAAGGGATCTGTAGAACCACTGTGTCAACATCTGTGTCACGTGATTTGTAAGGGCTCTGAAAACTAAGAACTACAGGAAACTAGGACTGCAGGAAACTAGGAGCTACAGGAAACTAGGAGCTACAGGAAGCAGAGTGGTTTGCAACACTGATCACGTACAACTAACATGGTTCTTATACAGTTCCCACGTACAAATGGGAGGAGCGGATTTTATGTCTTGTTGTTAAAATCTGAGACAATAAACACTAGAACGGGTAGCCAAGGTTAATGAGCGCCAATAGAGCGTGAAAAGTTAGTGTATCAGATAGCAACAATAAATCAACATACCGATATTAATAGCAAAGAACACATGGCAACAACTAAACACTACATAGCAACTAAAGGAAGTTCCCCTAGTTGAGACACCTCCCAGATTAAATAACGATCCTGTATCCTAACTATAACTCTGTCTCAGACGCCTTCAAACGCACACGAACTGGCGTTGTCATAGCAACTCCGTTATTACCACAATGTCACCTAGTTCCTACAAATATAAATTGCATTACAGGACTAACTAAACCCTGGAGGCCGGAGGGGGCTACTGTTAGAATGCAGTCTCCTAGCAAAACAAAACAACTTGCTCACTAAAACTGTGGGATCCTGGCAGAAATGAAATCACGACGAAGGGCCGGACCATGCTCGATACTAACTTGTCAATTATGCGGTTATGCCTATATACCGTTATTCAAATCCACTCAATGTTTGATAACAGAACTACAAAGGTGTAAATAAGGTGGTGTACGGTGTCAATCAGGACTTAATGAGTGGGAAGAAGGCTTGAAACATGATAACCCCGTCTCCTAATCCACCATTAATGTAATGGGGTCTTGCAACTTCAAATTAGATTTAGGTTCCCGTGATCAGGATTAAGTAGCCGCTGAAGGGAATACATGACGTAAACAGACTAAATCCACTACGGTATGTGACTAAAAAATGCGGTCCTCCGCATACCCTCCACAGGGCTGAAGGGGAGAAATACAGTGAAAATTGAAAACTTAGTTAAAACTGACAACCAGTGCGTTATGACGTCAGGAAATGACAGCGCGGGTATCCGGGTAACATGGCAACGGACCAAACCACAGCTCTGACCCGGAGGGGCCCTGGACACTGGGAAGCACTGAAGATTTGGGAATTGATTGAAGCGTCTTGCTGCCGGGCCCCTAATAGCTCCTCAACCAGGCGGGGAATCAGTTTCCTCTCCCGAATAGAGTGGTAGCTCACATGTATTATGTATACCAATTATACTCCCATTATGCAGGTAAATATTGGTGTTTCAGTTAGCTTGATGAACATGCTGAGTGAGGAGTCCTCCTCCTCCTTAGCATGGTTATTAAGTACGTGACGAGTAAAGACCTGGGAGGACTGGTTGTGTGAGAGGTTGGGGAGATAAGACAGATCACATGTAGAGTACACAGGAGCGTGATCACTTGGTAACTAGTGAGAGTGCAACGTGTTGAGAGACAGGGAAAAGAGATACATTGACGGAGGATAACTGAGCATTTATACCCGGGTAATGAGGTCATGAGTCAGCCTCCTCCGACCTTAGCAACACAATCCAGCAATTGACTCACAACTAAACACATCACTAAAGTGCACTACAAGTTTAGCCTTGGAGGCAGAGTATTTGAAGTGCGACAAGCAGCATGCAGCGCGTTGGTCCCTATTCAGCTTATCTCTTGTCAGGTGACGCCCACGTGACCCACACGCTCAAATAGCTCGCTAACGGCCAATCAGTGCTCGCGATATGCGCCCACGTGCATGTTCCCCTAGCAACGGTCATCAATACGCAACAAGCTTACATGACTAGATGTTAAAAGAGATGTGAATTGAGACTAACGGTTAGTATTATATGGAGGTTTGCCAGTTGTGAGGCTGAGGTAAGGACTAACAAGTAATTATTGTCACTCACATGCATCCCGTCAACTCTAACATAAGATTAGCGATACAGTGAGAGAGAGAGAGATACAGTTAAAACATAGTCTAATTCTAGCGTAATACTTGTAATGGCTATACCTAGCTACTGTTTGTTCAGAACTCATCCTGAAAATGAATGATTCTAGTTACCGGGGTAACATCATTCTTAACAACTTTCCGGGTGGGACTTACGAAACCAGGACTCTCGCTACTAAGACTCTCGCTACTAAGACTCTTGTTAGCAAGACCAGGACTCCTGTTAGCAAGACCAGGACTCCTGTTAGCAAGACCAGGACTCCTGTAACTAAGAGGATATAAACAAAATATACATAGCTTGTCTGACTACTGGGAAACTTTATTTGAGGAGAAACAGTTACCAAGTACCCACAGCTCCGAATATGTCAACAGATTTTGTAGACATTAGAAACTAGACACAAGTACGTCTAGCACGGAACTATATCTAACGACTTGATGCGAGTTCTTACACTCTGCCAACATACTGTTAAAGACATGGCGAAACTTTGCGTACTAGTCGAGGATAACACAGCAATTTGTAGTATCCAGAAGCAATTATAAAGTTAAACTAAGGGCACTCAACATCTTATAGAGTGCTCGGATATGTTGAATATGTCCAGATGAAGTTTAAGTCGTTTCATCCTACGATCAGAGGAGACAAGGCCTCCGTTTACAGCGTTTCTCATCAACGGACGGCAAATGTAGAGAAATTTCGAGCAGGAGACAAATTACACAGCACAGAGTAATGAATGCGTGAGTCATAGGGCAACATAGAAAACCTTCCTTTCTCTAATTTGCACTCATCAAAATACCGTTTAAGTAAAGATCCTACTGGCAGAATACCTCGCAAGTCGCAAGAGAGAAAGAGCTGATAGATTGAATAAACCAGAGCAGCTGAGGAGGGGTAGTGAGCAGAACATGGTGAGTATCAATCCACATGTGACAGAGAGCTGGTCTGTAGTGCTATTAACAGCATTGTTGCGGACCGGCACGTGCAAACCCCATCCTTAGCCACAATCCCCTCCATTTATACCGGATACCGCCTAAACTGGTCGCTCCTGCAAACAGGCCGGACAATAGCCCGAATATCACTCAATTGTGCGGGAGAAGGAGGGAGAGGAGGAGGGAGGAGGAGTGTGAAGACTGAGGGTGTATGGCATGTGCGTAACCTAAACAAATTGTTCAGACTATTATTATGCACCCACGTGCAACAGGGTTTATGTCAAAAGAGGTGACTTTTACCTTTTCAGAGAGTTATCGGAAACTAGGGCTGGGGGAAGCGGGGAACCATTTAACTAGGGTGGTAAAACATGTGAAACGGAACCGAACTGACAAGATGTCACTAGCGCCGGGTAGGTTAAAATAATAAGTAGTTAGCTAGTAGAAACTCCGTTACTCAAGACAATCGGTCCGGAAACGACTGACAAGCCGGGTCAGTTCTAGACAAATAGAACAGAACAGTCAGATATTTAATACAACCGCCTCAGGGAACAATTATTTGAGGGGTTGTGAGGGGGAATGAGGGGTGGTGAGCAGATATTCAACACAACTAAGCTAGGAGCGTCAGGGAACTGTTAAAATGACACAATCCCCGGTGTTGCTACACTACAAACTGTCAGGAATAATAAATCTTCTAGATCACGAAAACGCTGAAGTGTTAACATCAACTATTCGTCAGACGGCACGAGGAGTAGGAAATATAGAATATGTCATAGTTTGGCTGTGGTCCGCGTTCCTTCTAAAATTAGTGACGACGTTTTAAAGAAAAGAGTCCGCCCACATCTGAACGTGCGACACACGGCTGCTCAAAGGAGCCCGATACGATGGAAAGGGAAAATTAGGGTAATTTCCATGCTCCGTTTTAAAAGGTATCATAACACCTTGTAGATCCTACGTCATAACTAAATCTGTGGCCCACAGACAGGTCTATAATAACGTCATGATATAGAGATATCAGTAATCAGGCTAGCTTCAGAGCAGTTCCCAACCTCAACACTCGAGTAGCAGAGTGTTCACAACTGCAAGCAGGCTGGAGGTGGGGCTGAAGAAAGATAAGGGGAGGGGGCGGAGCATGTTATGAGAGCAGGTGAGATTGAGACCGCGTGAAGAGGCCCAGGAGAGCTGGGAAAGGTGTGCTTGCTTGGAGGGGCGGCAGCACCTCGACACAAAGCCAGAACTGACATGGTGACAGTTGGTGACAGAGAGAGGGAGAGGAGAGGAACCTTGTAGATCTAAACATTAGCAGCCACTCAGTGGGAAAATACTGTCCACTCCCAGAACCCCCACCAGCACTCCCAGTGCATCTGAACTAGGTTACAATGGACCTGAAATAGACCTTTCTATAGACTTTGTCACCGGGGGTGGTTTGTGGTAGCGACCCAAACCAAAAAGAAAAGCAAATCAATTTATTTGAAAGAGAAGTGAGTGCGCCAGATAGAATCAAACAACCACTAAAACTATTCCAATGCATCTGAAATGGGCTACAATATACCTGAACTAGACTCCTGAGTAGACTTGGTCGCAG